AAATTGAATACAGTTAAATATCTGTGCTTTGAAACAAATACCTCGCTAATGACTACACAGCTTAACGATGAAGTCAGTATTACACGTTGTAAACGTAGGTAAAGAAATTAAAAAAAAATTGAAGAACTTCTCCTCTCTGTATTGCTTGTACAGAATAGAAAAAGTAGAATTTACTTTTGTACTAATGTGAAAAAAAAGTGCGCTGATCTTTAATATGATTGTAGTTTATGAACAAATAATACGCTTAGCATATTGTGTATTTCAGCTTCGATGCAGACCTAAAAAGGTATTAATTTTACAATGATGTGGTTTTTGTTTTGTGTGTGTGTATGTGTAATGTGTAAGAGTATACTAGACCTACCTCCAAAAAAAAAAATGCTTTTAATTACCCGAAAAACCTTTAATTTAGGGTTACAGAAAGAAAATTTCAAAATTTAACTTGACAATATTTGTTATTATTTTATCTTTCCCATTTTATTAACACGTGTGAAGATTCAATTTTGACGACACAATATTCAAAGTGAGCTTGTTAGAAAGACGATGGAAAAATAATTGATATCACTACTTGAAAGTTCGTTAAAAATAATTTAGACATATTTAGATTTTGTGAAGCACACGCCATATGACACGTATAATTAAAACACTTTAATTACTTCGTCAATCAGATTTTGATCTGTGTATTTTTCATACGTTGTGGACGAACTGGTATTATTTACATGTTATATTTTAATTTGTTTTCTCTTAAATAGATAAAGAAAAAAAAACTGTTGGCCTGTGTATACATACATAATTATAACTTTTTTCTATTGGACAGATTTGTTTTCTATTATTATGTAAGATTATATAAACTTAATAGCCGTGTTTTGAAAATATTGATAAAAACAAATTTATTAATTAATCAGTGATGTTTACGCGGTTAGCGTTTATTGCGACGCACTACCTAGAAAAAATAGACATAATAAAAAACCTAAAGCATTAACTTAAATTGATTATTAAAAAAAAAAAATGTTTTCGCATAAGCAAATTACAAAATTTTTTCGTGAAAAACACCTGGACCATTACAATATTTTTTAACTGAGAAGGTATTAGTTTTACATTAATATAATTGTTCTATTTCTGTGTCTGGATTATCAATCACTTTTTCACCACTGAGTCGATCTCTTCAATTAGCTAATCTATGAATGAGAAAGTTTACTCTAAAGTTACTCAAGGCTTTTAGGTGAAAAACACCTTAAGTATTTACACGTTTTTAAACTTGTGCACTTTTGCACACAAGTGACTACATTTTTATTTAAAAAATAGTCGAATAAGGAATTCTTTAGATATAGATGTAAAGCATTACAGATACAGAGTCGAAAACCAAAAAAATGTTATCAACCCTTTAGCCCAAAAGGTAAGAATATTTTTAAAAACTTAAATTTGTTGGATATAAGATTTGAAAAATGATTGATGCTAGATTTAAGGCGTACCTACTTACAACATAATAAGCATTCAAAACCTTATGGCCAAACTTTTATTTTACTTAAAAAAAAAACCAACAAACAACAAATTTACTACTACACTTCATAACTATGTATAGGGTTGATATCAACTTTTTTTTCATTTTTCGATTGATTTATATATATAAAAATTTGGATTAAAACTACTAATAGTTTTTTTTTTGTTGGAAAGTAGAAAACTTCAGGGCACATTGGATTTTGATTTTTGATTACATTAATGAAAACTAAGAGAAAGATGAAATAAATATAAACTCGTGCAAATTGGACATATTTAAACTTATATTATAGCGTTTATATTCTATGTACGTATAGAAGGATTATCATAAGAATTAGTAATCAATTTAAAAGCTTATAATTTTAGATTTATTACTGTAAAAATTATCATAAAAGTTGAATAAAAGTTGTAAGAAAATGCAAAAAAGTGTAATGATGGGAATGGGTTTGAACCTGGTACCTTTCATATCTGAGTACCGTTCACGCCCAAACGCACCACACGTAATTTTTGCTGGCGGGTGAGAAATAAGTTTTTTTGAATTGCAAGATTCCACCCGAAACGACGGCCAAGAAATCGACCCCATTTTAACCCCCTTAGGGGTGGAATTTTCAACCTCTTGTGGATTAATAATGCATTGTCATCGAATTGTGAGCTACCCTGAAAGTTTCAGCCGGATAGCTAATCGGGAAGTGCTCGAAATTTGAGTTGCAAGATTCCACCCGGAACGACAAACAAGATTGTGAGTTCATAAAAACGTTATAATAAAAAGGATTGTAATTGGACGTAATGCATATGGTTAGCCTATTCAAGTGGGTCCCACACGCAGGTCTCTTAATAGGTAGTTCTTAATCTCAATAGTTCTTTATTCAGAGACTCTTAAATACCATAAAACATTTTATGTTTTTTACTGCCTACGCAGTTATTTATAAATTATATAAATTTGTCATATCATTGTAATACGCATTATATTGTATGTACACTTAAGTTAGTAGCATGCACGTTGTAATTAAAATTTTATAAGGTATTTTGTGTAAATAGTGTCATTATTTTTATGATTAAAAATAAACATTATATTTTTATATATATGTAAACATAATTTTAGATATTTATATTTTTTCCTTATCAATAACACAAATATACGAGTATATTTTAATATATAATAGGTACTATTAATTAAATTAAGAAATATATGTTTTTTTATATTTTTAAAAAGTACACTTAGTTGCAAACAAACAGTAAATGTTTTAGATGGATATTACATTTCTTTATAAGGTTTTAGGACCGCGTAACAGGAGAGTAGCAATAAAAGGTGGCTTTTGCGCCAAAAATGTATGATTCAGAATTATTTTACGTGTGAATATTATACTATTATAGGGTTCAGTATAAATACCAGTCAAGGACTTACATACAATATTCTCTGTAATAATAAAAATGGAGCAGAATAAGTAATTTTTTAGGTCTTTCTCTTTAAATTAGAAGACCTCTTCGTATTGATACAAATTGTTGTTTAATATAACAGTATTGCGTCACTTAGCTAAAATAAATTAGCAATAAACATATTTTTTTTCTGATATTATTGGCCTTGTCTAATTATAATATTACGTCGTGGGATAATCCTTTTATATTAACTTACAATATAAGATTAATATATATTACTTATTCCGTATATTTTGTAAGCTGTAACTTCTGCTTTATTTTTTATTTTACTTAAGTATCTACAAGTATAAAGTAGGTAGTGTGTACAATTAAATATAACCATTGTTTGTCAACATTAGTCACGTTAGACTAGGATATAAAAATATAATTACTAGTATTACTTGTTAGGTGTACCTTCTATAGTTGTAAAATTAAGTATGAGCCAAGGTAAAAACTATTAATAAATACAATCAGAATTAAAATCACGTTATGTTGCATTTATGAATTGTCTGATCAATAACCTGTAAGTAAACAAATAGAGGATACTATTGTAAATTCCATAAAAATGTATATTGAATGCAACAAACATTTAAAACTATAACAGTTAGGTGGATTCAAGTGGCGATACAGCGGTATTTTTGTATTATTTTTATATTTTTGAACTATAAAGAGGTAAGTACAATTTTTTGACTAATAGAGTTGCTGCTTGATAAAAACATTATAACTTATTGGTTTTAAAAAAATATATACAGACAAAATACCACATCAGCTTCGCATTAAAGATAAAATTGCTCTCTTTAGAGAACTTATACGTGTAGGGCGGGTAGTATTAAATCTTAAAATTGTTATTTTTTAATAAACAAAATTATTCGAAATAATCCAATAATATAAAACAAATTCGTTTAATAGGTTCGAATAAAAAAATTATTCATTCACAAATTATTTTATTATACAATTTAATCGATTAATATTTTTCATTTTTTATTCGTTATTCAAAAGTTGTATGTAGACAACGATTGCCACAAACCAATTAAATACTATAGTATTAGTTTAAATAAAATGTATAATTGTTTTGATACATACGGCTTGTGGTTTTGCGTAGAACTGTTAATTTTCAAATACACAGTTGGGCGCTGCTATACACAAGAACGGCAGCCGGTTTTATGTGGGATTCTCGCCGTCGCCAAAGGTACCCTTGCCATAGTTTACCATCCCCCCGTCCATAAACTATGACAGGGGTAACTATGTTGACGGCGGGAATCTCGCATTAAACCGGTCACCGTTTTTGTGTATAGCACTGCTTGTCAGTGTATCTTTTAATTAATGGTAAAAAAACAGTTAATATCGACCGAGACCGAAACGAACGAAAATTTATTTACCGTTTTTCCATTAAATTTCTGAATTAAACGGTACTCTCGGATGATTTTTTGATAAATTTCAACCTTAATTTTACTGTCTAGGTTTATTATCCTATAAACATTAACTATTAATGGACCAATTTAGCTAAACTATAGTGCGTACATCTGTTAATGTGTGAAAAAAAATGCAAATTTTGAAAAACGAGACGTACTAGTCGTTATTTTTTTTCATTCCACGTCGAATCCAAAAAGGTATTTCAAGGTTATCAAGTCAACGAACTGAATCGGCCCCTATTTTATGTGCCATTATATTGTTCTTGTAAGAGGCACTTAACGGTAAGAGATTTGAATCAATAACGGTCGAGTATCATTTACAAAATTTTTGCCTCCAATAGTAGAAAAAACCATTTGGATAAATTTAACAGGTTTAAAAACTGAAAAAATTAAACACATCGTACTGCGCAGATACTAAATAATATAACTCTTCAAGTGTAACGTAGGTGTTATTGTGTGTTAATAAAATACAAAAAAACTGGTGTGAGAACATCAACCAGATGATAGAATATAATTATTCTTCTTATGAATTTTTGGCAAAATATATAATAGGTATTATATTATTGGTTATTTAGAATATCTAATAATAATATGGAAGGAATCGACAAACCTATAAATTCATTTGGAAACAAACAAGCTGTTTCAATGACGTTCGGAAACCGCAAGCATAGGTACACGCGTTTGCTGGTTATTTATCATTACGGGAAAACCTAGGGCAAAATCAAGGTGTTGCTAAGGCGTAAGCATACTGGGACCCTTTCCGAGAGAACCAGTTCAGCGTACAGATTTGCAACATTAGCTCACTTGCTTGTGCCTAGTAAGGATGTCCGAAATGATTCGAACGATCGCGATAGTCTTGTTGGTTTTTCCGACTTTAGTTTTTCCTGCGGTTGTAAATCAAAATGCCACGACATTTGGCCAAGAAAGTACAGTGCGTCCCGTCGACTCAACAATTATTAACACAGTCCATAGTAGAAACTCCAGCAGAGCTTATCCAAAAGTATGGTTGGCCAATCTACTCTATGAAACGCTAGTGAATTTTACGGTTAGAGATGTGGGCAATACAGCTTGTCGAAAACAAACAGAGATGTACATTAGGCATTTACAAAATGCATCATACTGGGCCGTTAAAAGTAAGTGGTTAACCTGTTTTTAGTCTTTATATAGACTTTAAATACGTTGATTGTCATAATATTAGGTCGGATATTTTTTTTAATTGAGGCGCGTATTATAGAACAATTATTAGCCCAAATTTCAAACGTTGGTTAATTTCAGGAAAAGAAATTTCGAAAAATTCCTTAGGCTACAATTTTTGAAAATTTTCACAAAACAAATAATTTCTTTAGATAGAACCAATCAAGATTTTTAAATAAACACAGTTTGAATAAGTTGTATTCTTTATTTGATATTCAATAACAGTTTTACATAACATGTAATACATTGTGGTCACTTAAAAAACAAATACGTTGTCAAAATGTCTTATGGCTGGTTTTGAAACTAGATGCCTCAATTAGCCCCAATTTCAAATTTTGGTTTATTACAGGAGACATTCGAAAAAAATCCTTAGGCTAAATTAAAATTAAAAATTTATATTTTATAAAATAAATCAACTCGTTAAATGGTAATAAATCAGACAAAATTATAAAGTTTTCGTTTTCGAAAAATATTGTACCTAGAAAAATAGTCCTTTTGTGTCTTCTGAAAAAAAACAAAAATTTGAAATCGGGCCCTAGTATCTAATAAGCGTCTCAATTGCGTTATTTAAGCCTAAACAATATTTTAAGTTTTACAACAATTACTATACTCTAGAACAACTTAGTTTTGTCAAATTTCAAATGTCAACAATTTATTTCGATTACCTCTGGTTTTGAAATAATGTTCTAACAATATACCCTTGCAAATTTCTTTGTTGTTTAGTATTTCTATGTATGGTTATTGGTATTTTTATGTGTATAAGTATGAAAAAAAAAAACAGAACAATATAATATTTGTATCTAAACACACTACTCCACCGCACTTTCCTACCGCTTATAAATTCAAATGCCAATTGTTTCAGAGGTAGTTTTCATTAATAACTGGGTGGATAAAAAAAAATAAAGCCTCACTTAAATACCAAAATTCCCACATAAATGTTTTAAAAAATATTACAAAGAGTTGCACAGAAATGTAAAATTTGTTATTATTATAACACAATTTTATGTTCAGCGTTGAACTGCAAGATTTTAAAACTCTTGAAAAGAAGTTTTTATGATGTGTATAATATGGTAAACAGATTAACGAAACGTGTTTGAGTAGTTTAAATTCACACTTTTTTTATGATCATAATAGTATTTAGTAGGTAATACTACTATTTACCGTGTACAGTTATATGACGCTTAGTTGATTCAAATACCGCGTATGCAATAAAATCATTAATATTGTATAATTTAATACTTATTATTAAATAGTAATTTAGTTGAATATATTTAAACTAACTTTTAATAGATGATAATTAAATAGTAGCAAGGTAATATTGGTAGTTTATATTTATACAATGGACAACCCATAGGCAAAACTATGACTAACAAATTTGATATAACAATTTTTGCTAAATTCTATTCATTTTGCCTAAAGTGTGTGGTATTAAATAATACAAACATGTATGCATAATTAAATAATATAACTACTTTTCTCACTCAACAAGACGTTTATTAAAATCTAAAAGAAATAATTAGGTAATACCTAATTTAAAAAAAAAAATGAATAAACTGTATTAAAAAAAAAGTTGTGTTCTTTTATCTAGTCTTTTGGTATAGATTTTATTGTCTTGTTAATATAAATATTATGAAGTAGAGAATACATTTATTAATTTCATTAGTATTGTTTTTGTTTTTGGCGCTTATATTTATGCCGAAATGGTTAATTTTTTAAATACAATTTAAGTGGAAGCAACGGGTGAAGGTTATTTCGTTTTTTTACCTGTTGTTGTTGGATATAATTTTGATTATTAGGCGAAATATACTTTTTTACATAAAACCATAGATTATATTTTTAAATAATGCCTATTCAGAGTAATGTGTAGAGCACCCAAATTGCACGTATCGACGATATAATACACAAAATCGTCGTACATAAGGCGTTTCCCTTGAATTCAACCAATTTTACTGCTTAACAATACACCTACTTATTACTTAACAAATCACTTGTAATCTTTAAATGGTTTTGAATAATTCGTGTAATTACTTACAAAGGTTTTATTGCGCTATAATTAAATGGTACGTGCGATAATAACACAAGACCATTGAACTTTTATTAGAAATACGTGCGATACATATATTTTGAAAATACTGAATGTTAGGTTTAGCCTGTACAACCTTGAAGTACGGATAATAATATTATAATAACATACCTGGGTTATTTATTTGGCAGTGGAAGAAGGAGGCAATATTAGGAGGTATGGTTTCAAATATGACGGCTATGATGCAATAGTAATAAATAATAGTAATAATAATAAATATGTTAAAGTTATTGATAAAAACAGAAATAAATTGTTTAATTCTAATAAAAAAAAGAAAATGTTGTCGTATTTAAATCAATTGACAATTTATAATCTATCTTTACTATAATTTAACAACCATATTATTTAGGTAATTTTTGAATTTTGGTTGATTTTAGTGTCCGATTCATGGCCCAGGTATCTAAACGGATTATTAATAGGCTCTTCAGTTCACATGGGTGTTTACGATGAGTGTGTCAGTGTGCATAGTCCAGTACAAGGAAAATATTGTATATCCCAAATCAACATACAAACGACGTCCGGCGAAGACTTCACGGCTTACAGTAAAGACGCTTACGAGAGCCATGACCACGCGTGGCAAGAGATTTTAGGGGTATTTTATTTGTTTACTACCAATTTATCAATACAAAAATACTATGGACCATGACAGCAATCATAAACAACATGCCTACGACATGATTTGGGTTCTTGTAATTAAATACTTGTAATTTTCGTTTAATTCGAATCTGTTCACATACATTTTCCCATAGCACATAAATTTGGTTTTTTTGAACTTGTATAACAGCTTGTTAAAAAAAAAACAGAAACCCTACCTAAAATCTGCCATGTTTAATTAGTTGAAAATTATACATTATACACTATCACTCAAAGAAAAATAACGTTTTATTAAAAAATATGTAGACTAATTTGATAAATACTGTATTGCTATCGACTCCATAAGGATTTTATGAGCATAATAAACTGAAACCCTACGTAAGTTCTAAAACCAGTTCTAAATTCAGCAAAATAAAAAACTCTATTAGAAATACATTTTAGAAAATAACTCGATTGTACAGAATTTGTTGAAAAACAGAGAGCATCATGCCAAGTTTAATTAGCTGAAAATTTTGCTTTAGACACCATCACTCAAAGAAAAAAAAGTTTATATTTAATAGCTATGTAGTCTAATTTCATGAATACTTTATTGCTATTGAATCAATAAATATTTTATGAGCATAATAAACGGAAACCCTACGTAAATTCTGAAACCAGTTCTAAAATCAGCAAAACAAAAAACAAAACTATTAGAAATACATTTTTAAAAATAACTCGATTGAACAGAATTTGTTGAAAACTTTAAGTAGAAAAACAATCGTCGATTGACCGATTTCTAAGCTCGATCATGGTTTTTATATTGAAATCGAGAGATTCTAATCGGATATACATTGTTGAACCTGATGTAGGCTTTCTTTGAAATCAGATTGATAAAGGATCATATAGGTATCACATATAAAAATATTATTCTAATTTTATTTTAATGTTAGGGTGTAAATTACGATGATCGTGTACTAAGAAACGAACTGAGGACTGGAATTTGTATACCTGGATCGTGTACAGCTACTGACCTTCAAGTATCATTGCAAAAGGAACTTGACAAAATGTTGATGGCACATCAAATAAAAGCTCAAGTCAAAGTTGATCCTATGTTATGTTCTATAGACAAGGATTTATATCCGTTTGATACCGGATACTATTTGACCAAGTAAAATTAAATTTAGCTGTTTATAGATAGGCTGTATAGGAATCATGGGTAAACTTGTCTATTACCTTGTTATATCTATAAACCGCAAGTCATTAAGTGGTTTAATTATTGAAATTAAGTGCTACAGTTCAATAATATTGGTCATATATTATAATTTAATTTTAATTATATATTATTTCCATTAATAATATAGGTATAATATGGGTGTCCATAAATCAAAGTACTAATATTCTTAATGAATAGTATGATAATCCGATGTGTAATAATATGAAGTACTATTTTTGTACTAAGTACTAACTGCTAGTTTAAAATATGAAAATATGAGTAACTTTTTTATTGGCTTGTGTCTGGAATAGTAATATAACGTTTAAAAATAAAACTATACTGCTAGGTTAATACGTAATTAATAATAACCAATTACATATATAATTAATTTACTAGAAGTTATTTTGGCAGAAATGGACATGTTTTTTAAAAAATGTTTAGCAGACCTCTCCAGATATGACAAATAGATTTTAATTTAAATTTGTTCACAAAACGTGTTTTGTTATTTTTATGAGAATAAAATGTGAATTTTGCCTCAAATTTTATTCGGACCCTTGTTTTCTTGTACCAGAATCCTACTATAATAAAATTAGTATTTTTTGTAGAAACTAACAAAATTACAAACGTTTTTGTGTTTTCCGTAACTTGAATACATTCTTTTGTGTTTCAGTATATTAATTGGTTTGTTAGTGTTGATTTGTTCTTTATCGACCACATACCATATGATAATATTGATTAAAACAGAAGAAGGAGAAAAACCAAGTAAGTAAATAAATTATAAAAAGTTATTAATTGCTTTATTATACGTTATAATAATAACAAACTGGTGTACAATAAATACAATAAATCTGTGCAAATTGTAATAGTTTATATATTTTTTTAGAGAAAATGCCAGAATTATTAAATATGTTTTCATTTGTTAAAAATGGAAGAGATCTGATTAAATATGACAGAAATAATCATTTAAATATTTATAATGGTATAAAAGTTCTAACGATGATCCTAGTATTGTTTGGCCATAAATTTTTATACTATGTGATTAATCCAATCTTATACCCTGCAATGTTAGAAGAGGTAATTTTACATATTTCATTGAATAACTAAGCATTAGTTTCAAAATGGAATTGTTTAAGACAAGTTAATAGTTTAAGTTATACAGATAACAGTAAGAAGAGAACACTAGGTCATTTTTACATGGTTTTCTTTATTTTTTTTTATCGGTTTTTAAAGATCGGTAGTTATACAATTTTTGTATAAAAAAACCTGAATTCAATTCAAGTTTTGTCAGAAATGTATCAATTTATTTTTGAAATATGTTGCGTGGCGTCCTCTTATTATATTTAAATAATTAAATATGCTTACAATAATACATACCCAGTGTAATATACAATATAAAATATAATGGTTTGAATTTACTTATTTTATAGATTTACACTAAAGGTCCATTCTTTTTATTAACTTGTATGAACTTGGTAGACCCGTTTTTCTTTATAACTGGTTACCTGATGTACGTTATGCTTATTCCACAATTTAGTAGAGCTAAATGTAACTGGACGGAAGTACCGCAAGTTATTATTTACAAATATCTTAGGTGCGTTTAAAGATATTTTAATTATGTCTAAACTTTCGTTAATTTTTTGTTGTTTACTTACAATTTTAGAACATTGCCATCTTATATAATGGTTATGCTATTGACGGCATTTGTTATCCCACACATCGGAGATGGGCCATTCTGGGCATACAAAATGTGGCCTGAAGCAGAGAAATGTAAAAACTATTGGTGGGCTAATTTGTTGGCTGTCAGTAATTTTATTCCAGTTGAAAACCAAGTGAGCGTTAATAATGATATAATAATTTAGATTATTGTTAGCCGTTACATTATTTGCAACAAATAAATTGGAATTCTTCCAAACTTCAGATCAACCACCCTATTAACCTCACTAAGGATTAATTTTGGTGATGCGCTGTATAAAACCAAAAACTTGCATTATAATATCTCTCTCATTCAGATATGCAAGTTTTTGGTTTTATAAAATGCAATAGTAAAACTTTCTCATCTTTAACATGTCTTTGTCCTTGTTATTTGCCTTGGTTCGTTTAATACTCGAGTACAGTGTGGTTGTGTGACATCCATAACTGGTAATAGTTGGATTATGTTTTGATAGAGTACACTGTACAAAATAGGCTTTTGTCTTATGTTACATTAACTGTTTTCAATATTTTTTATCCTTCGCATGAGTTTTACAATCTTTACGATTGGTTTACACATTAGAAAGTGGTAAGATGGTAAAAGAGCATTTATTAAAATAGATTGTCTCCCTAACAGTTCCGTTGTCGCATTGGCTAATATAAATGTAGTAGAAGAGATATAAAGGATTTATAATAATGTGAGTTTTATTTATTTTAGTGTCTCATAGCAGGATGGTACATATCATGTCTTCTACAGTTCCTTATCATTGGAACAGTGGTCATGTATATTTATGTCAAAAGGCATAAACTCGGTACCATTATAATATTTGTTCTCTTCTGTACATCATTAATAATTCCATTTGTCATAACGTATAACACCAAATCGTATGGAATTATTAAAGTGATGGTATCGTAAGTATTTTATCAACTATATCTATCCATCAATAACCTATACGGATTTAAATAATAAACGATTTTGTTTTTATTATAAATCAGATTCCTGATGAACCCAGCCAACTCATTTGAGTTTAAAAATTTGTACAGACAATTCTACTTGCGAGGTATACCGTTTTACGCTGGTCTGTTAGCAGGTCTTATAGCCGATGCTTTGAAAAAAAGAGAAATAAAAATGTCTACGGTAATTATTATAACAAATCTACAGAAATTATAAATACATTTTTGTTTGTTTTATAATAATCATAAAAATGTTATGTTTTTCAGAAAGTTTCCTACTTTATTACTGCAGTTATAACGATTATTTGTTCGTATGTTCAGATGTATGGAAAGGTATTCTATGTGAGGCACAGACCGTACAATGCACTCGAACAGGCTATTTACGCGGTTCTTAGTCATTGCACATGGACCACAATATTGTTTTGGATCGCTATCTGTCATCATACATTTGCCTGCTTTGGTAAGACACAAACTTCATTTGGCAATACAAAGGAGATTGTTCATCGCCCTTTATATGCTCCATGATTAGGTTAAACCAATAACCGGTTAGCATACTTTATATGATGCGATAAACGAAAATGAATCTTCTATCTGCATTTAGCGATATTGAATTGAGGATATTTTTACAATGGTTTTTTGAAAATTTTGAATTCCGCAAAAAAATGACTCTACTGCGACTTCATTATCGGCAGACAAGAGGTTTATGTGCGTCATTTTCACACTTGTAGATAAAAGATGTAATAAAGTTTGCCTTTATTTTGTTGTCAATTGCAAAATGTTAAAGTGTAGATGAAGTTTTGATCTTTAACTATGTTTCTAATAGATTTTTACTAAAACTACTCAGTTTCATAAAAAAATCCTTTCCTAAGAAATAAGAATTGAATTACGACAGTAGGTCTAATACAGTCTGGTTCATTTAACGTATTTTCTTTGAAAATATTTAAAATGTTGTTGTTTTGCTTTTGGAGAATTTCTAGTTAATAGTATTTTACATTAGTGTAAAACTAATTTAGTGTTTTACACTAATATAAAATACCATTAAAAACATGATTTCAAGATAAATAAAATACAAAATAGCAATTATTTTTAGAGATATTTAGTGTCTTGCGTTAAGGGGATTGAATGCGGGCTGTATTTAAGGGGTTTTATATAGGCAATATTTAAGAAAATATTACTTTTAATAAATTTCAACCATGTCAGTTGATTAATCGGTTAATTTTTATAAGCTGCAAAATATTATTTTTAATTTAAATTATTTTATTTCTACGATTAAAAGCCATTTTGGTTTATTTTAGACCAAAAAGCCAGACAAAATTTCATATAGACTTCATAGGATGGTCCAATTTTAATTATGTAAAGAGATATGAGTTCTTCGGCTAATTTACTATGCTATGTAGGAGGCCGATTTTCATTTAAATTTGCAATTTTTTCAATATTTATAATTTAAAACACATACCTATTTTTTTACACAAAAAAGCAAAAAATAAAAAAATCTGTTACTCTTATAACCTAGTAAAGTTGCCAAATAACTTGTATATCTATACAGAATTGAAATCGGACCATCCTAAATAGTCGACATTTTGTCTGGCTTTTTGGATGTCAAACAAATAAAAATAACTGGTATTCTTAAAGCTTATTTTAGAGCAAACAATACAAATTAAAATCAATTCCTATTCAACAATGACTAAAATGTGTTAATAACTGCGTTTAAATTGTATATATCTTTACTAACTCATTACAAGGCACATGCAGTTTGAGTACATACTTAAAAAAAAAAGTTACATGTTTACAAATTTACTTTTTTGAATTTTTTCGTGGCTATCCCTCTAATTGTGACGTTGACAGTCAATACATAACAATTAGAAAAGATGAAAACTCTAGTTATGACGTTGGCGATCAATACTGAACTATTACAAAGCAAATATGTTAAAAACAATTTTATTTTTACTCTAGGTCCGATTGAAAAAATATTTAATAATCGCTTTGTTGTGCCATTGGGCAGACTGTCGTATGCTGTATATTTAGTCAATATCACAGTAATGATGATAATAGAAAGTGAACAAAGGGCAGCTGTGGTACCAAGGATATCGAATTTGGTTAGTAATTATTTTAACATTAATATATTTGTTGATGAAATAATTATTTTGATGATGAACAAATTTAATAAGAATATTAAATACATATATACATTTCCATTGCAAACGCCTTAATTTTTGACATCTATTCACTTATTCTTTGTTTTACTTTACCTCTTGATGCCACGTTATATTAAACATTTTTATATTTTGTTTACAATTTATTTATCACTTATTTCTCTATCTACAATTTTTTATTTTCACTGTTGTTGGAGCCCCTTCCAAACTTCATTTCATTTACTTTATACTTAAATACAATTAAATATACCTACAAACATACAATGATGAGTCATTATTTATTTAACTAGTTTTTACAAAAATGTTAACTTAACTTTTTTTTTATAGCACGATGGATGGATTGCTGGAGTATTCAAAACATATGTTGTAGCAATACTAGTATACTTATGTGTAGAAGCACCGTTTGGCTTGTTAATAAAAAAAATATTAGTTGGAAGGTAAATATCTAAGTATCAAATTATTTAAACGTGTTGTCTTAAACGTAAATTTTAAACATACATCTCGCATAGCAATGTCGATTTCATTTGCCGAATAATATTTTTATTTTTAGTAAATCGTCACAGGACAGTTTAAAAAATCAAAAATGTAGTCAAAAAGAACCAATTCAAATTGCTCAGAACGAGAGAACCAAGTTATGATAATATAATATAAGCTGACATTATATTCAAAGTAAATAATGTAAAAACGGTTTTTAAATTTAATTAACGTGTAATCCTTACATTAATGAATATAGACTGATTTATTAAGAACAAGTTATAAAATATGCCCACAGGAATATTATATATATTTTTATGTTTTTTTGTTTTTAATAAACATGTATTTTAGCTTCGATGCGGAGCTGAAATTGTTTTTACAATGATGTGTTTTTTAAAAAAAATTTGTTTTGTGTCCGGACCCACGATATCTCATAAGCCGCTATAACTAGTTTGAACATACTATCCACAGATTCGCATCGAAGCGTTTATTTAAAAGTGATTTCATCACTTTCAGTTATAATAAATTGTGTAGAATTGTGACCTCTCCGTCTCCACTATACCCCGACCCCACTGTACTGGCTTTTTATTTTATTACGTTTTGTGTTAATAATTATTTATTGTAAAATTCTGTCACGTCAAAAACACACATCACAAGCTCCGTGTAAAAATACTGATATAATTGAACAAGTTTGGCGCCTACTGATTTCAGTATAGGCAATAATATGTACTTTATAATGTATACTTAATGCTAATAATATATTGTCGCCTAGCTAAGTGAAATTATTTGCAATAATTTTAAATTTGGTGTTAATTATAGTTAGTATATTAAATCTGTAAAAAACTAATATTATATTTATAAATAAATAATTTAGGTATAAATTGTATATACTTAGCCTTTAAGACGATATAAAGCAGTCTGTTTTTCGACGTTTTAGACGAACCATCCACTATGTTGACATTTTGACTACTTAGGATGGTCCGATGTCAATTTATTTAATTATTAATTATTGTGAACAATAGTTTCTTTTTCGTGGAATTTTTAGATGTGGCTGATGGTTTAAATAAATTATGATTTATATGAACAAAGTGATTGCACTACCATTTTATTATGTGTAAATGTTTTTTTTTTGCATTAATAACTTTGTAAATTTCAATTCGTTTAATGATAATAGAGAGGACATAAAAAAAACAAAATTACATATTACATAACAATATAAAATGGAAATTAAATAATATTTTTAAACATTACACAAACTATAGTATAAAACATTTTCAGACTAATAAAGAAATATATACTTAAAATACATTTTAATAAAAAAATTTAAAAAAAGTTTAATCTGATATCAATTACTTATAACAAATAACTAGCTAATTAATAATTTAAATGTATTTCATTTTTATTACACTTCTTTAAATAATTGACATTATTTCAATTCCATTTCCCAATGATGCGTTTTTATTGTCTGGATCTAGTATAACTGCCTACTGGGTTTTTTTTTTTTTTTAATGTCTTATAGGCAATCATATATCATTGAAAATCCGATTGATAAAAAAACATCAACTTTTTTTATACCCCTTATTGTAATTTGCCATTTAATTACTTAATCGGTCATGCGTTAAAGGTCATGTGTAAAATATTATTGTACTCGAAAAAGACCAAAAATTGGTCTAGAGTACCTGTAAACTTTTATAAATAGTTAAAGTTTAAACGAAAAATTAATAAGGCGCAACAACGAAGGTTATTCATTAAATCTTTATTAAGGAATAGCGTGACGCAAAATGCGTCATGCACGTTTTAATAATAATTTCAAGATGTAATTTTTTAAAATTAAATAATTATATATAATCTTGTTTGTATGGGACAAAGCGTAGGAGAAAAAGATATGATTTTCTTAAAAATGTAATTATATGTGTTAGTATATAGTGTGTGTCCACAAAATCTAAATAAGAGTTTTTGTTTAGCTTAAGAGATGCCAAAGACAAAATTCAAATTCATAATAAATGTATAAAAATACTCAACACAAAACACAAAACTTTTAGTCACTTTTTAGTAAAAAATAAAGAAAATATTTTTATAAATTATTGAAATCTATTTAAAAAATTCTTTAAAAATCAATGATGGGTTTTGAATGGGTTTTTTCCGATTAAACCGGTAGTATTTTATATAAAACCAATCTGGTTTCCGGGTCTTTATTACGAAAAACCCCAAAATACCCGAGTGAGTTGGGTTTTTGCCAACTCTGATTGGGGGACTAATGCTCATAGGCATTTTTCCCATGTAAAGAAGGCAAATAATATACATATAAATATGTATGGATATAATTACCCGACACTGGTATTTTTAGATGTGATCAAACACAAACAATAATTATGAAATGTGATATTTATAAGTAATTATATATAAAGGAAATGTGGTGACTCAAAGTTATTTTGTCTTTTCCTTATTCGAGTGAAGATTTTTTTATTTTGTTTAAACTCGCTGGAAAGATGGCGAAAATAACTTTAAAAAAGTATATAAGAAAAATATTTGATAACACTACTTTAAAGTTCATTTAAAAATAAAAATGCATCTTTTTTTATTAAATTTAAACAATTTAGTCAATAACCTAATAATAAATCAAATGTTTGTCTCTTATACTTATTTAAAGTTATTTTCTTGATCTTTCCAACAAGTCCAGTCCACATAGTATTCTAGCTTCATAATTGATTAAGATTTAGATTTTTTGAAAAAGATCCTTTTTCCAAAAGACAAAAAAACATATCATCTTTACACGTTTTAATCAAATAGACAAAATAGCTTTCAGACACCGCTAAATATTATTCGATCAAGTTCAAATTTTCTTTTTTTTATCATAAATAAAACACTTTTTAGGTAAACAAACACTTTGTTAAGTATGGTCTAGTGTATAAACTTAGAACTTTTTTTCTACTGGATAGATTTCCTTGATCACCTATATACATAGACCACAAGACACAAATAGTATTTATTAGGTACTTTAAGAGGGACTGTTAAAGTTGAAAAATTCACTTCTCCACATTTAATAGAAAAAAACCAAAAAAGTTAACTATTTATAACGTGTCGTATTTGATATGGAACATAATTTCGTGTGGAATATTGATTAGCCAAGTCCCTATGACATTATCTGAAAATAGTAACAAACCAAATTTCCACTTCTCCATGGGACTTAAAAAATGTTTAACATTTTTAGCAACTGTCATAGATATGAAAATTGGTAATAGAGCTAGGACTGTTATAATATATATATATATATATATATATATATATATAGGGTGATTTTATCATGAGCCACTCAATATCTCATAGGGTTTAATAAGAAATTAAAATTTTAAAGAGTTTTAAAGGTAGGATGGGAGGAGAGTGCGGTTGGGAAATGCGCGCAGATAAAAATAATACTACATTCCACCTCTCCTCTGCCCTAAACTTGAAACTTCAATAACTTCAAAAATAGTTATCTGAAACTGGTTATCGACCAGTCAACATTTTTAGTACATTATTCTCAATTTAAAAAGTTAATAAAATATGGACATTACCATTTAAGTTTCAAAAGTTGCTATCAAAAAAACCAAGTTGGGAGGGGGGTAAACACAAAAATTGTAAAATGATTGAGATCACATTGTATAAAAACAATATGAAAAACAAAATTTTAATTTCTTATTAAACCCTATGAGATATTGAGTGCCTCATGATAAAAAAATCACCCTGTATAATAAAATTATGTCAATTTACCAGATATGAATTTTTCAGAAAAAGCAAAATTTAGTTTGGAAAAAATGAATTTCTGTTTGTACAAAATCGAATTAAGTTAGCATATAATTTAAGTGTAATTCATATAGCCAAGTGTATAATCAATTATAAAGTTCTTATTCTTGACATTTTTTTTCCATTTTAATTCAAAATTCAGTCAACGCCATTATTAATTAACTAGAGATAAATTATGAAGGTACAAATTTTTTGTGGTTCTAAAAAAAAATATAATTTCATAGCTAAGAGTTAAATTTATATAATTATAAAAACGCATTAGTCTTATTTGTTTTGAAACTGCTGATAAACAATAATTTTTTAATAATTCAGTGACGTTTACGCTATTGGCGTTTATTGCGACACTACCTAGAAAAAAATTAACATAATAAAAACCCAAAACACTAACGTATTTTTTTTTTAAAGTTTACATGTTATAATTTAAGTTTTTGCTCTTAATTAGATACACAAAAAAAAATTGTTTTTTTGGTCAACCTTAAGTACACACATAATTGTAATTTTGTCCTACAGGCCAGAATTACTCGGTTATAAGACATAAATAAGATTTAGTAGGTATTTTAAAAGAGGCCGTAAAATTTGAAAAAATTCACTTTTCACATTTAAAAATGAATAAAACAAATTAACGATTTGTTTTTATTTCAAGTGAAAAACGTTCTATAATTTCAAAAATAATCGTGTAATTATTATGGACTAATTCTATTAGGCACGTTTTGTATAACTTCTTCTTCTCCACTTGTCCAGTTGGTCCCTCCAATCTCCATACGTGTCCGGCCCAGTTCAATCTACTACTTTTTAGAACTCTGATGATATTTGCTTCTCCGTATAGGTCTAGAATCTCCTGATTTGTCCTTATCTTATATTCTCCTTCATTGTTAATTTTTGATCCATAGATTCTTCTTATTATCTTCCGTTTAAACTTTAAAGGTCACCAGTTTACATACATCTGACATTGTTATGGTCCACGCCCCACACTCATACAAGGCTGCTGATCTCACTAGTACTACGTAAAGAGTTATTTTTGTCTTTCATGATAAAATCTTTGATTTAAATATAGGAACCAATCCAAAATAACATCTGTTTGCCGCAGCTATTCTAAGTTTTATTTCCTTGTGGCTATTTGCGTCCTTGTTGATGTCCACTCCTAAAGTATTTAAAATTATTTACTCTTTCAAATTTATAGTCACCAATATCCAAGTGTCTTATTCTATAGTTATTCCTAGTTACGACCATGTATTTTTGTTTTATCCTCGTTTATTATTAACCCAATTCTCTTCCCATTTTCTGGCAAATTTTTTGTAGTAATCTGTAGACTCGCTTCATTTTCTGCCATTATAACTAAATCATCTGCATACTCAGCCACTACTAATTGTTTGTCAATTCCAATTTTAATCCCACTCGCTGTTACTAGGGGTTCTCTTACGACCGAGTCCAATGCTATATTGAACTGGGCTGGGATCAACACCGTAAGGTCATGATGACGTATCAACTAGTTGTGATTTTTTCAGGAAAGTAAAATTCAATTTGAAAAAAATTAATTTCTGTCATAATTGAATTTAGTTAGCATATAATTTAGTCAATTATAAAGTTCTTATTTTAGAAAAAAATAAAGTTTTTCCATTTAATTCCAAAATTCAGTCAACGCCAATATTAATTAATTTTCGACTATTAAGTTACCTACGTTCTTATAGTTCTAACAAAAAATTACAATTCTATAGCTAAGAGCTACCTTACAAAACTATAGAAATGATGTAATATTTTTTTTCTTTGTATTATTATGTAAGATTATATAAGCCTAGTAGCCGTATTTGAACATATTGATAAAAAGCAATTTTTAATTAATCAGTGACTTTTACGCTGTTGGCGTTTATTGCGACACTACCTAGAAAAAAATAGACACAAAAAAAAACTAAAGCACTAATGTAAATTAATTTTTCAAAAAATATATTTTGATATTAACAATTTAGAAATTATTAAAAATGACTAACCAGAATTTTATTTGAACCAACTGATAAAAAATAATTTATCAATTAACCAGTGACGTTTACGCGGTTTGTGTTTATTGTCACACTGCCAAGAAAAAACAATATTCAAATTTTTATCTTTTTTAGTATATTTTTGTACTTTATCAACTTTTGAAACTTAATTTAAGATTTTTTTTTCAAATTTTTCGCTCAGCTTATAAAAACAAATTAACAGTTAGTGTAATAAACGTGAACAAATTTTTCTTTTAAAAGTTAAAAAATAAATGGTTTTTTAATTAGTACAATTAGATGCAAAGAACAATGAATGTTTTAGATTGATATCATTTTTTTTTATTATGTCTTATGTATACACTTATTTACGTATACTCGTATAATAATAGTGTACAGTGTAAATACTAGTCAAGGGCTTACATACAATATTCTTTGTAAAAAAAAAAAAACAGCGCTGAAGTTCATTTTCATATCTTTATAGACAGAAGACCTCTCTTTAATGCTACAAAGTGTTGACACAATTTCAACAGTATTGCGTAACCTAGCTAATAATAAACATATTTTTTCCTTATATCATTGAACTTGTATACATTTATTATTACATTTTCGATTAAATTAAAAACTAAAGCTTATCAATACAATAATATATTAATATATATTATATTAACTGTAACTTCTGCTTCATCAAGTTCTACGAGTATAAAACATTGTGCACAATTTAAAATAAATATTGTTTGTCAACATTTTATATATAAAATGTAAAAACTCGTGTTATTTGTTAGGTGAATAATATTCTTAAGATGTAAAATCAAGTATGAGAAAACATTATGGCATAAGTATTACCTGACTACTATTAAAACGACGTGACGTTGCTTAGTGCTGTCATTTATGATTTTACTGATAAATAACTTGTTTTGTTTTTCACGATAAAGTTGCTGTTCGAGTAAATCTTTTTAGCTTATAAATTAAAAAAAATATATACACACACAAAAAATCACATTAGCATCGCATTTGAGTTTAAATTACTATCTAGAGAACTTATAAATGTAGGGTGGGTAGTATTAAAACTTAAAATTGTTATTTTTTAAAAAACAAAATTATTCGAAATAATCCAATAATAGAAAACAAATTCGTTTAATAGATTCCAATAAAGAAATTATTCATTCATGAATTATATTATTATACAATTGAATTGATTAATATTTTTCATTTTCTATTTGTTATTCGAAAATTGTATCCAAACAACGATTGCCACAAACCAAATAGATATGGTATTAGTCTAGATAAAATGTGTAATTATTTTGATCACACAGTTTGTGGTTTTGCGTAGAACTGTTGATTTTCAACTATACAGACTAAAACTACAAACTATACAGATGGGCGGTGCTATACACAAGAACGGCAACCGGTTTTATGCGGGATTCCCGCTATCGCCAGAGGTACCCTTGTCATGGTTTACCGTCCCCCCGTCCATAAACTAAGACGGGGGTACCTCTGTTGACGGCGGGAATCCCAAATAAAACCGGCCACCGTTCTTGTGTATAGCACTGCGTGTCTGTATATTTTTTTATTTTTTGCAAAACAGATATCGGCCGAGACCGAAACAAAACGAAAACTTATTTACCGTTTTTCCGTTTAATTTCTGAATTAAAACGGTACACGTGGATGATTTTTTGATAAATTTCAACCCTAATTCTGTTATCTAAGTCAGTTGGCATCCCGTATCTCATTATTGTACGCAAAATTAAAATTTGATTTTTTTAAAAATGTACATAATGCATTAAAACTGGCGTTTTGTTGTCGAGGTGAAATTTTTCTATAAACACCAATTAATAATGGACCAATTTGGCTAAATTCTTTAAATAAAAAAAATAAAGTGCGGGAACCAGTTTATGTGAAAAAAGCACATTTAAAAAAACAAGTACTACATCGTCATTTTGGTTATTCCACGCCGAATTCAAAAAGGTATTTCAAGGTTATCAAGTCAACGAACTAAAGTGGCTCGTTTTTATTGTGCAATATTTTTCGTGTAAGAGGCATTTTTAACGGTCAGACATTTGAACCAATAATGGTCGAGTATCATATTATACAGATTGTTGTTTCCAATTGTTGTACGCAAGCCATATGGTTAAATTTAACAGGCTTAAAGCGGAAGAAAAACAAAATTAAATACGTCATACTGCATGGACACTATAAGTTTCCTCTTCAAGCATAATAAACCTAGACGGTATTTTATGTGAATAAATAAAAATACTGGTATGGGAACATCAACGGGTAATGGAGTGGGAACAAGTATTTTATTTTTCAAGTTTTCAGAAAAATATAAACAATATCCGTGTTTATTAAGATTATAGCTTTGCTTTAATATTTCGTCATTTAATATAGACATGATGTAGCAACACACTTATGAACTCATCTGAAAACAAACTATAGTTGTTTCAATAAAGTTCGGAAACCACCAGAGGTATACGTCATGCTTTGTGGTTAATTAATCACTACCGACAAACCTAGGAAAATATCAAGGTTTTTCTTAGGTGTATGTATATTGGAAACCCTTTCCAAGAGAACTAGTTCAGTGTACAGGTTCGCAACATTAGCTCACTTGCTTGTGTCTAGTGAGGATGTCTGAAATGATTCGAACGATCGCGATAGTCTTGTTGGTTTTTCCGGCTTTAGTTTTTCCTGCGACTTTAAATCAAAATGCAACGAAAATTAGCCAAACAAGTTTAGTGCGTCCTGTCGACTCAACAATTATTAACACAGTCCATAGTAGAAACTCCAGCAGAGCTTATCCCAAAGTATGGTTGGCCAATCTACTCTATGAAACGCTAGTGAATTTTACGGTTAGAGATGTGGGCAACACAGCTTGTCGAAAACAAACAGAGATGTACATTAGGCATTTACAAAATGCATCATACTGGGCCGTTAAAAGTAAGTGGTTAACCTGTTTTTAGTCTTTATATAGACTTTAAATACGTTGATTGTCATAATATTATGTCGGATATTTTTTTAAGTTGAGACGCGTATTATAGAACAATTATTAGCCCCAATTTCCAATGTTGGTTTATTTCAGGAAAAGAAATTTCGAAAAATTCCTTAGGCTTAATTAAAATTAAAAACAAATATTTTATAAATTAAATCAACTAATTAAATGGTAATAAATCAGAAAAAATTATAAAGTTTTCGATAAAAAAGATGTACCTAGAAGAATAGTTTTCTGTTTCTCCTAGAGATCAAAATGCCCGGAAATTTCCGAAAAAACCCAGAAAAATTGGGACTTTTTTTTAAATAATTAATTCAGAAAAACACATTTTTTTAGTTAAGAAATATTAACCCAGATGAGTGAGGACTAAATCCAAAATTATTTTAACTTAACTAGGTCCTTATTTCATAAAAGATTTAAAAAATTATAACAAATTTTAAAATTAAAAAAAAAAATTATGATAAAATCAATACATTCCTCGCACCGTTTGGAATCTAAAATAAAAATAACTAAAAGGTAGGTAGTTCATTTAATATTACTGTAAAAAAGTGTATTATCATATGTTGCCATACAATTTATTCTTTTTCCGCCAGTTTTTCCTTTTTTCCGAAAAACCCGAATTTTCTCGGTCTTTTTTCCTGATTTAAATTTTTCAGGAAATTTTCAATCTCTAGTTTCTCCTGAAACAAACCAAAGTTTGAAGTTGGACCTTTGTTATCTAATAAGCGTCTCAATTGCGTTATAAACGGAAGCCTAGACGATATTTTAAGTTTTACTACAACTATTACTATACTCTACAACAACTTACTTTGTTAGTAATATTCTCATAATAATCTTGCAAATTAGTGTGTTGTTTTCTACTTTATAATATGTACTTAAATACGATTAAGGATTAATTGTAAGAACAGATTAAGGAAACGCAATTAACTAGTTTCAATTTACATTTTGTTATAATCGTAATAGTTGTAATAGTTGAAATGCAATTGCCATGTACTATAATATGGCACTTTGTCAATTCAAATATAGCATATGCATAACAAATCATTAATATTGTATATTAAAAATATAAATAGTAATTTAGTTAAGAATACAAATTGTCATGGATGATAATTAAATCGAGGTTTAAGGTACAAGGTTGCTTATATTTATGATATAGTCGTCTTCCATAACTATGACTAACAAAATTTAATATAAATATGAATTCAAATTAACATCCCCCCCAGATATTGTAGTGCATTAAAATTACTAAATACAAGGGTATCAATGAAAATAAAAATGTAATTGAAATCGTATTAATAAAACTTACTGACAGATAAATATGTATTGCATTAATCTCAACAATATGGACTAATTGAATTGTTACACATTATTTTTAGCCATTTGTTGCAAATTTCTACACGGTTATTCATTAGTTTTTTTGGCGCGTTTGCTCTGCATGGGTTACATGTTTCTTGATAAAACTGTTCAGATGGATCATCGCGAGTCATCTGAAAATAATAAAAATAAAAACTATAATAGTTTCAAACTACTTAATGGGTGCAAATGTTCACCCTTATATTTTGAAATATTTGTTTTTTTTTTATAATAGTTGTATTTATTTAATGTAACGGTATGCAATTGAGAAGTTGAGAAATTAACAAATAATTGAAATAAAAAAATCAATAATAATTTAAGTAAAGTTTTTTGATTATTTTCATATATGTTTGCTTTATGTTTATAACACTTTTTATTACATTAAATTTTACTTTTTTTATTGTTTTAAAAAACTATAAACTGATTATATCATAATATAATATTAATTATGTTAAGGTTATTGATACGAACTGAAATAATTTATTTTTAACAAAAATCGTATTTAAATTAACTAACTATATTTTATAACCTATCTTTACTGTAAATTAACTTAATTAGTTACGCAAGTTTATTATTTTGTTGATTTTAGTGTCAGATTCATGGCCGAGATACTTAAACGGATTATTAATAGGCACTACACATCACATGGGTGTTTACGATGAGTGTGTCAGTGTGCATAGTCCAGTACAAGGAAAATATTGTATACCTCAAATCAATATAGAAACGACGTCCGGCGAAGACTTCACGGTTTACAGTAAAGACGCTTATGAGAGCCATGACCACGCGTGGCAAGAGATTTTAGGGGTATTCTATTTGTTTACTATCAATTTATTAACAAAAAAATACTATGGACATGACAGCAGTCATAAACTGTTTTAGCTTTAATGAGAATACACTATACATACTGTTTACTATTTCTGAAGGAGTCTACCAGATTAAAAGCACCCATAATAAATTAAAAGAGAAAAAAATTCGGAGGGCAAGACGGTGCGTTTTTTTCATTATCCTAAGTATAATGCTCAATGCATAGTTTAGAAATAATGACTATTTTTAACATTTTTAAATGACTGTAACTTTTCAAAAAAAGAATTTTTTAAAAAAAAACCACCGTTTTGCCCTCCGGAATATTGTTTTCTTTTATTTTTAAAAGGGGTGCTTTTACTCTAAAACCAAAATTAAGTAAGTTATTTACAGTTGGCGTAAAAATATTTTTACCACTAAATATCACCGCACCGGTGCGACACCCTTTTAAATAGTACTAGACCGTTTTCAAAATTATTCAAAATTTGTAGGTTACTAAACACGACACGTGTATATTACATACTGCAATTGTTTAAGTATTTATTAATAGAAAACTTTAAGTAGAAAAACAATCGTCGATTGACCGATTTCTAAGCTCGATCATGGTTTTTATATTGAAATCGAGAGATTCTAATCGGATATACATTGTTGAACCTGATGTAGGCTTTCTTTGAAATCAGATTGATAAAGGATCATATAGGTATCACATATAAAAATATTATTCTAATTTTATTTTAATGTTAGGGTGTAAACTATGATGATCGAATGCGATTAAGAAACGAAATAAGAACTGGAATTTGTATACCTGGATCGTGTACAGCTACTGACCTTCAAGTATCATTGCAAAAGGAACTTGACAAAACGTTGTTGGCACATAAGTTAAAAGCCCAAGTCAAAGTTGATCCTATGCTATGTTCTACAGACAAGGATTTATATACGTTTGATACCGGATACTATTTGACCAAGTAAAATTAAATTATTATTTTAGCTATATATGAATAGACTGTAGGAAGTATCGGTAAACCTGTCTTTATATTTTTATGTTAATAAACCGCAAGTTATAATGTAGAATAATAATTGAAATAATTACCTAAATTACAACAATATTGGTCGTATACACAGGATAGTTCATTAAGGATAAAACATAAGACTGTTGATAATACTGTTTGCGGTTTGCCCGATGTTTAAGTTTTATACCAAGTGATAATTTACCGCCCTACGCCATTTATTTTTTTAAATAGTTGCAATTTTCTAATTTTTTTCTTTTTGGAGATACTTTAGTTTATGTTAAACTTACACAAATTATTTGAATAATAATAACTTGAATACGTTTTTTTTTTTCAGTATATTTATTGGTTTGTTAGTGTTGATTTGTTCTTTGTCGACCACATACCATATGATACTATTGATTAAAACAGGAGAAGGAGAAAAACCGAGTAAGTAACTTTGTATTAAACAATTATAAATTGCTTTACTATGACATTATAATAATAACAAAGTGGTACAATAAATACAATAAATCTGTGTAAATTGTAATAGTTAATATATTTTTTTAGAGAAAATGCCAGAATTATTAAATATGTTTTCATTTGTTAAAAATGGAAGAGATCTGATTAAATATGACAGAAATAATCATTTAAATATTTATAATGGTATAAAAGTTCTAACGATGATCCTAGTATTGTTTGGCCATAAGTTTTTATACTATGTAATTAATCCAATCTTGAACCCTGTGCTAGTAGAAGAGGTAATTATAAATGTTTCATTGAAGAACTAAGCATTAGTTTCAAAATGGAGTTGTTTAAGACAAGTCAATAGTTTAAGTTATACAGATAACAGTGTTAAGAGGACACTAGGTCATTTTTACATGGTTTTCTTTATTTTTTTTTAATTTATCGGTTTTTAAAGATCGGTAGTTATACAATTTTTGTATAAAAAAACCTGAATTCAATTCAAGTTTTGTCAGAAATGTATCAATTTATTTTTGAAATATGTTGCGTGGCGTCCTCTTATTATATTTAAATAATTAAATATGCTTACAATAATACATACCCAGTGTAATATATAATATAAAATATAATAGTTTGAATTTACTTATTTTATAGATTTACACTAAAGGTCCATTCTTTTTATTAACTTGTATGAACTTGGTAGACCCGTTTTTCTTTACAACTGGTTACCTGATGTACGTTATGCTTATTCCACAATTTAGTAGAGCTAAATGTAACTGGACGGAAGTACCGCAAGTTATTATTTACAAATATCTTAAGTATGCTTATAGATATTTTAATTATGTTTAAACTACCGTTAATTTTTTGTTGTTTACTTATAATTTTAGAACATTGCCATCTTATATAATGGTTATGCTATTGACGGCATTTGTTATCCCACACATCGGAGATGGACCATTCTGGGCATACAAAATGTGGCCCGAAGCAGAGAAATGTAAAAACTATTGGTGGGCTAATTTGTTGGCTGTCAGTAATTTTATTCCAGTTGAAAATCAAGTAAGCGTTAATAATGATATAATAATTTAGATTATTGTTAGCCGTTACATTATTTGCAATATACTAAAAAATATAGTTCCTTTTAAAATAATTATTAGTGTTAATTATTAATACTGTTTTTTTTAAACTGAGAGTTGATTTTACGTAATGTACGGTGATGTTGATTAGCAAATTATGAATTATGTTTTGAGAGATTACAAAATAGGCTTTTGTCTTATGGTAAACAGCTATTGTCAATATTTTTTACCCTTCGCATGAACTCTCCAATCTCTACGATTCGCTTACATATTAGAGAGTGGTAAGATGGTAATACATTGTCTTCTTAACGGTTCCGTTGTCGCATTGGCTAATATTACTGTAGAGGAAGACTGAAGAAATGGTTTTCTAAGGATTTACAATAATTTGAGTTACATTTGTTTTAGTGTCTCATAGCAGGATGGTACATATCGTGTCTTCTACAGTTCCTTGTCATTGGAACAGTGGTCATGTATATTTATGTCAAAAGGCATAAACTCGGTACCCGTATAATATTTGCTCTTTTTTGTACATCGTTAATAATTCCATTTGCCATAACGTATAACACCAAATCGTATGGAATAATAAGAGTAATGGTATCGTAAGTGTTTTATCAACGATATCGATCCATTAATTATACTGATTTAAAGTATAAACGATTCTGTTTTATTATATAACAGATTCCTGTTAAACCCAGCCAACTCATTTGAGTTTACAAATCTATACAGACAATTCTACTTGCGAGGTATACCGTTTTACGCTGGTCTGTTAGCCGGGCTTATAGCCGATGCTTTGAAAAAAAGAGAAATACAAATGTCTACGGTAATTCTATTAGGTCTTTGTTCAAATTAATAATACTAATTTTAATAACGTTATGTTTTTCAGAAAGTCGCTTACGTTAGTACTGCGATTATAACAGTTATTTGTTCGTATATTCAGATGTATGGAAAGGTATTCTATGTGAGGCACAGACCGTACAATGCACTCGAACAGGCCATTTACGCGGTTCTTAGTCACTGCACATGGACCACAATATTGTTTTGGATCGCTATCTGTCATACGATTTCTAGTTATGGTAAGATTCAAATTTCATTTACAAAGGAGATTGCCTGTCACCCTTTATACTCTCCAGGACAAGGCTTTAGGACTAGCCCATAACCGGTTAGGATTTATATGATGCGAAAGCGAAAATGAAACTTACGTTTGAAACTCTAGTTATGACGTTGGCGATCAATATTGAACTATTACAAAGCGAATATGTTAAAAACAAAATTTTGATTTTTTTACTCTAGGTCCGATTGAAAAAATATTCAATAATCGCTTTGTTGTGCCATTGGGCAGGCTGTCGTATCCTGTATATTTAGTCAATATCACAATAATGATGATAATAGAAAGTGAACAAAGGGCAGCTGTGGTACCAAGGATATCGAATTTGGTGAGTAATTATTTTAACATTAATGCATATTTTGTTGATGAAAGAATTATTTTGATGATCACGTTATTTTATTAATAAATATAATACAAATACTATTAGCTACTTGGGACTCATGTAAATTAGTATTTACAGTCTCGTATGTCATGTCGTGCAGGAATATTGGCCATGGCAAGGGAGTTGGCTGTAGAATCCAAATTTTTATACGCATTGTTTGACTGAACATTATATTACTAACCTTTTTTATTCGTTTACTTATTATTTTTTCCTTATTTCTGTATCTAATTTTTTTTTATTTTCATTGTTATTGGAGACACTTCCAAACTCCATTTTATGTACTTTATACTTAAATACAATTAAATTAACCTACAAACATACAATGATGAGTCATTATTAATTTAACTAGTTTTTACAAAAATGTTAACTCAACTTTTTTTTATAGCATGATGGATGGATTGCTGGAGTATTCAAAACATATTTTGTAGCTGTATTAATATACTTATGCGTCGAAGCACCGTTTGGCTTGTTAATAAAGAAATTATTAGTTGGAAGGTAAATATTTAAGTATCAAATTATTTAAACGTATTGTCTTAAAAATACATTTTAAACATACATCTTACATAGCATTGTCGATTTCACTTGCTGAATAATATTTGTATTTTTAGTAAATCATCTGAGGACAAATTAAAAAATCAAACAAGTGGTGAAAAAGAACCTGTTCAAATTGCTCAGAACGAAGAAATAAAATTGTGATAACACAATATAAACTGTCGTTATATTTAAAGTAAATAATGTAAAAACGGGTTTTTTTATTTTATTAACGTGTATTCCTTATTAATGAAATTAGTCTGATTAATTAAGAACAAGCTATCAAATAATATGTATACGGAAGTATTATATAAATATAATTGTTTTTAATAAACATGTGTTTTATTTTATTACGTTTTGTGTCAATAATTATTTATTGTAAAATTCTGTCACGTCAAAAACACACATCACAAGCTCCGTGTAAAAATACTGATATTATTGAACAAGTTTGGCTCCTACTGATTTCAGTATAGGCCATAAAATATTGTCGCCCTGCTAAGTAATTATTATTTGCAATAATTTTAAATTCGGTGTTAATAAAGTTAGTATATTAAATCTGTAAAAAACTAATATAATATTTATATATTAATAATATAGGTATACATTTTATATACTTAGCCTTTAAGACGATAGAAAGCAGTCTGTTTTTCGACGTTTTAGACCAAGAATCCAACATTTTCACAAAATGTTGACTACTCAGGATGGTCCGAAGTTATCTATTTAAATTTATACAAGTTCTTCAATTAAGTTTTTAGGTTTTGTCGGAAAGGGATTTAAAATTTGTCCACATCTGTCATATTAGACGTTACAAATATTGCGGTTATCATTGAAAAATGTAATTAATTTTATTACAAAAACTGAATTTTTAAAAATTAATATCTATTTATATTTTATAGAATTTAAGTTGCACTTTCCGAAGTCGTACAATTTTGTAAAACCTAAAGAATTTCTTATTACAAATAAGTTTTATTTATAGGAAAAATTTTATAGCTAAAAATAATAGCTTATAAAAATTAACCTGAAAGTAAATTGACATGGTCGAAAAATATCAGACTTTATTGATAATACTTTCTTTCCTGCGATCATCATGATTATTTGTGCGTCGTTTTGTTGCCTATGCGTTTTTTATAACAGCACCATCAATGCTGTGATTTTACCATTAATATTATTAGATTGTAATATGGTTAGGACCATTGTTATTCCAGACCATGTAAGCTTTTCCTATATCAATAATTGGTATAACTACTGTGTGTTCCTTGTTTTCAAGGGAGAGGGTTTGAAAAAAATATATAGGGGATGTTATCGGGGCCAGAGATTTTACTTTTGCAATTTGGTAGTGCTTGTTGAAGTTTGTGTATCTTTATTAGTTCATTGATTTCTGGTTGATGATTTAGATTGTGTGTAGTATGTACTGTGTTTTCATTAGTTATTTTATATGGTGAAAATGAATTTGTATGATTTAGATCACTACTGTTATTTTGGAATGTGTATTTCTTTAATTTTTTGTACAATGGATTCAGTTGATGATATTTTCTGGTTGCTCTGCATATTCGTTAAGTATAGAAATCGAGCTTGGATAGTCTTATTAGTGATTGAAATTGTCTTTAATTTAGTGAGCTAGTTGGTCGGTTTTCAAATAGTTCTTTTGCTGGTTTAAGGGTATTATTGAGTTTTTGAATATATTATTCCAATGAATTACTTTTTTTTAAATTTATTTTGACCAAGTGGTTTTACATTAATTGTTTTTTACTTGATTCTAACAGTATATTTTCTCTTTTGTTTTTCGGCTGTTCGAGTTTTGCATCATCCTGATATTTAATTGATTGTAACGAAAACGTTGGTGATGAAGGGTATTTATTGTATTTGTACTAACAATGGGTTGGCTTAATTGAGTTGAGCTGGAACTACTGTTTTGAGTGTCGTTTGAATTTGCTTAAAATAGATTTGTATCTTGTGGATGTTTTGAATCATTAGAAAATATATTTTCCTCTATTGTTGTTGTTTGTGCACTATGCAATCATAGTTCTTTAAGTAAGTATTTTTCAAATCTTTTTTTGCAGAAATTAGAGGCGTGACCAGTTTGATTGCGTGTATAGCAAGTTAGTGTGTCCTCAGTTAAAAATAGTCTGAAGACCGTATTAACATGTTTAAATAGTAGAGATCCAAATAAATTTAAAATATCATCAGGGAGAATACACGTCATAAGTGGAAAACTACTAATGTGTACGAGTTTTTCTTTAAAACCGGCTTTCACAAAGATTTCTTGTGATTACGTCGTGTGGAATGATTTTTGAATTTGCGTTGAATGTTACAAATCTTTTGACAGGGTTAACTGAACGGCGAAATGGAATTGTTTGTCAATTTATTGTCAAAACCAGTAATTTTTGTTTTCTTAGTCCTTCTACAATGCGGTTGTCTGTAAAATAAAAATAAATATTTTCCGAGAAAATGAGTGTCTTGCATCAGATGGACCACTCTGTAAACAATGCGGTAGTACAGTAATAATAAGCAACGTCAGGACAAGGTTGTTTACCACCAAAAAAACAACTTCGACTATCGAACACTTTGATCTAAATATAAGCACTGTAAAAATATAGAACCTTTATTAAGAGCACGCTGAAGTTAAAAATGCATTAGTTTCGTACGCACCTGAGACCTGCGCAGACAGAAATACATAAGAGTAACGTATTTTGATTTCTACTTCGGCTCCAATTTTTAATTTAAAAATAAAATAGTTTTCCACTATAACATTTTAAAACTACACGATACTAGAAACTGCTGAAGTCACCGAGTGAAAATGTCCTGTGCGTTGGTGATTTTTTTCTTTGGTTTCCTGACCGCCGTTTACCCTTATGAGAATGCCTCTGTCCAAAAAAATGGTGTACTCGATACAGGAAATATGGTTTCACAAAATTCTGATAATTCTACTTTAGACAGAAATAATAATACCAATCACGACCTAGTTTATCCTAGAGAATGGTTAGCTGATCTTTTTTATCAATCGTTGGTGACATTTTCGGTTAAAGATGTCGGAAGTTCAGCGTGTAAAGTGCAAACGCAAATGTACTTAAACCATTTGAAAAATAATTCACGTTGGGCGGTAAAAAGTAAGTGATTATGTTTTATTGCCAGCTGCATACAATAATGCACAGTAAACACATTAACGAGGTTGAATTTTCACAAACAATATATATTAAAGCAGTCACAGTTATAATTGCATCAAGTCCCATTTAATTAATCTTTTATTTATAATCTATCTTATTATCAATTAATTTTTAAAAAAACCATCATTATAAAAAACAATACCCGGGTGTAATTTTAACAAACAAATAGCATTTTTAAATACAGCAATTTTGTTTTTAAATGTATTGTACTATATGGTTTTAGTGTCAGACTCATGGGTAAAATACCCAAATGGACTATTGATTGGCCTTACACATCATATTGGAGTTTATGATGAATGCATAAATGTTCATCAACCCGTTCAAGGTAAATATTGTATGTCGAACATCCAACTGCATCCCGTGACAACTGGGACGAAGAAGTTCAGCCAAAAACCTGGTAACAATGATCCTGCTTGGGAAGAAATACTCGGGGTAATTCTAATATTCAATGACTAATAATAATTCTGAATCATTTTGTGAACGCATAAATTGTTTTTATTAAGCACTTTAGTGGACAAAAACTAAATTTTTTTCAACTAATTTTTGTTGAGTCGTGTTAAATAAATGTAATGGAGTTTCCAAAAATATCTAACTTGATGTTTTTTTAAATGTTTATATTAGTTTAATGATGTTGGCGATCAAGTAAGACGAAACCATGTAAATATTGGAATTTGCATACCTGAAGCGTGCACTTTTGAAGATCTTGAGTTTGCCTTACAAAGAAGACTTGACAGTATATTTTTAGCACAGAATGTTAACGCTACGGTTAAAGTCGAACCATCATTGTGTTCAACAAATAAGGACGTGCATCCGTTTGGTATGGGATACCATTTAACTAGGTAATACTCACAATTATATATATTTTAATTATCTCTGTACCCTTGCTCCCACGATCAGATATTAAAGAGGATAATCCTAGAATTGTTATAAGCTGCAAAACTAAAATAGATTAAGGTCACTTAAATAAAAATACTGCTTAAACTAATAAATATAGCTTCATTAGCTTCTTTTTTGATGGCCTACAGGACTCATTCTCTTGGACCATTTCTCCCGTAAGTACATATTAACACATTATACCCACTTTTTAAATGAAACCGTTATTGTATTCAATTTTCAATCATAATTTACAAGTAAAAAATATTGTTTTAAAGGGTAGTTTTAAAAAGTCACTTTTATTATTCAAATAGAAAACTATATATCTTATTAATCAATTTAAATTATTATCCGTAATTTTTTTTATTTTTGGTAAACTTTTGAGTATCATTATACTGTACTGTGGATTTTGTGCTGTACAGAATTATCAGTTCTGTTTTCAAATAAATGTTTTACATATTGTGTACTGTTAATTACTATGCAATTCTGATATTGACAAAATTACGGCGTTGATTATACATCATCACTCATAATGGTGTAATTGCCTATACTGTGTTCCTGAACGGGTTATTTAAGAATGCGGATGTTTATTTTATATACCAACGAAAAACAACTTAGCTTAGTGACTTATAGACTTATAAGACTTATAGACTTAGTATGTTGGATGGAACATAGTTTAAAGTTAAAATGTACACTAGTAAAATAGAGTTACTATGTTTCTAGTATGTACACACGGTCGTGAATCGTGAGTGTTCCACTTGAACTAATAGTATAGTATTAATAACTAGCATTGTTTTTATGTTATATTATATTTATTCTCAGGATGATTTTGGTATTATTGTTTTTAACATGTTGTCTATCAACAATAGTTCATCTTATAATACTAAAAAAAATTAAGGACAATGAGGAAACGAGTAAGTATCTAAAAATAAATGCACAATTCGTATTCTTTAACTCCATCAGTTATCTAACTTCCATCATTGGTAATTAGTACATTTCAGATATAACTATATAAGCATATTGAAAGATTGACTAAAAATAAAATGATAAATGGGTTATAGAGATTGGATCATTATCTTTAACGTAAAAACATTTAGAATTAGAATTGTTATGAATTAACGGCCATAAGGGTGTATGGAGAAGACATATAAATGGAAAAGGATATTAAATTATAGGATAGGATAATAAGTGGCTGCATCCACTTGTATTGGATAAGACTAAGGAGTTTTTATAAATTATACAAATTTCAATATATAAAACAAATCACATTTATGGTATTTATGGTGAATGGTGGCCATTGACAATCACTGCATGCAAACATTTACAATAACAATTAATATACACACATATTGAATTCAAATTTCAGTTTATTTACCACTTTTACAGGTAAATTTGTTACGTATATTAAATGGTTCTCGATTATCCAGAATATGAGCGATTTACTTAAATACGAAAAAAAGAACCCTTTGGATGTATTTTATGGAGTTAAACTTCTGAATATGGCTATAGTTTTATGCACTCATAAATATTTGTACATTGTATGGGGTCCTCTTCAGTATCCACCTCAAGTAGAAGAAGCATTGGTATGAAAATTGTATAGTGAAAAAATTAATTAGTTTAACATTTTGGTTTTGTGATCAATTTTACTCCAATTACGATGGAGAATTCAACATTTAAAACACGGTATATTTGTTTTAGATCAAATATATTAAATCTTTTTTTTCAGATGAATAAAAGACCATCTTTATTCGACAATGTCTTTCAAAACGTTATGTATACCAGTTCAAATGGAGTGGATCCTTTTTTTTTTTTCAGCGCATACTTGACATATTTTTCACTCAAGTCGCATTATAATAAACGAAAATCCGGTTGGAGTGAAGTGCCCAGAAATATACTTTATAAATACTTGAGGTAACATATTTTAATCGATTTTGAGTATATTATGTACTTATATAATCCTAGTTATTTTAGTTTCGATCGATGTGTAGCTGAACAGGTTTTGTTTTTACAATTTTGTGTTTTTTTTTTATGTTATGCATTTGTTTTTATGTCTGGACCCTCGTTGTATTCTGAATCTACATGTAGTAAGTGTATATAGATTAGAAGGGCCAAGTCACTATAGAGAGTTATAATTTTCGTTTGTGTTTTGCCTAGGGTTTTAATAACCAAATACCTATTGGTCCAGGTTTGGTTGATCCGAATTACAAAATAATATTTTACGGTCGGGGTACATTGAATTTTTTATTACTTTATTATTTTGTTCAATAGAATGGTTCCGGCATATGGAGCTGTAATATTAGCTACCATTTATATAATTCCTCACATGAGAAATGGACCTTTTTGGTCTTACAAAATACAACCGGAGATTGACAGATGTAAACATTATGGGTGGACTAATTTGTTGTTTATCAATAACTTTATCGGCTACGACAAACAGGTAAAATTAACATGACTAAAATACAGTGGGTAAAAAAAGTCTCCGTACACTGTTGTCAAATTTTTTCAAACACATAAAATGATAATTCAAAAGTTGATTAACTTCATGTTTTTGCCACACATTTATTCAGAAACATATTAATATTTGTTTTTAGAAAAATAGAGCATATATATTAATTAGTTTATTTTATACATGTATATATATACAACAACTTTGGAAAATAACAGCAAAAAAAGTCTCCGTACAAAATAACATAAATATTTTTAACATGGTATATTGTAATAATTATCGATAGTAATGGTCAGTTGGCCCTCCTTTAGCTATAACAACTTCGTGCATTCGTTTTCACATTAATTCTACTAATTTTTTCGTAACAGTAGAATCAATACTGTTCCATACTTCTAGTATTGCATTTTTTAATTGTTCTTTGTTTCGAGTTTGGTAATTTTTAAGACGTCTACCTATTTCCTTCCCATACATGTTCTATAGGGTTCATGTCTGGTGATTGTGGAGGTGTGTTAAGTTGTTTTGGTACTCGGTGTAACAACCATTCTTTAACTTTTTTCGCGGTATGTTTTGGGTCGTTATCTTGTTGGAATATAAACGAATTGCCAATATTTAGTTTTTCAGCACTTGCATGTAAGTTATTTCTCAAAATGTTTAAATAAACATGTTGATCCATAATACCATCGATAAATACCAAATTACCAACACCTGCAGCGCTCATACAACCCCAAACTAGTACATTACCGCCCCCATGTTTTACCGTTGGGCACAAATTTTTGCAATCCATCTGCTTATTAGGGTTTCTCCACACCATACCTCGCCCATCTGAACCAAAAATATTAAACTTGCTTTCGTCACTAAATAATACAGATTTCCAAAAATCATTTCCTTTATGAATGTGTGCCTTCGCAAAATCTAAACGTTTCCTTTTATTTATTTGACTGATAAAGGGTTTTTTCCTAGCTACACAACCTTTATATCCTGCATTTCTAATAACATTACGAATGGTCTGAGGCACAACTTTCACATTATAGTCAGTATCAATCATACCAGCCAGTTTAGGTGCACTGGTTTTTGATTCCGCCACAATTGTCCTTAGAATGGCCCTCTTTTGGTGTGATTTCAATTTTTGGGTACGACCAGTACGTTTTCGATCTTCAAAAGAATCAGTTTCGTTGTATCGGTTTATAATATATTGTACAGTCGAGTGCGATTTATTTATTGTTTGTGCAATATTTCTGAGAGAATTACCATCTTCTCTTAGTTTAACTACTTAATACTAATTTACGAATAGCAATTGGTATCTCCATTGTTCAATGTATGTGAATTGAATAAAACGGACTAAGCGTATGTCTATCGTTCTTAATGGCTACAAAACAATGATAACATGCTCGTTGATATGTAGAACTCTCAGTCCATACGGGTTTTCCCTATTCCGGTACTATTTTTATCTCTTATTCATACACGTCGATAAATGTACGGAGACTTTTTTGCTGTTATTTTCCAAAGTTGTTGTACATATATACACGTATAAAATAAACTAATTAATATATATGCTCTATTTTTCTAAAAACAAATATTAATATGTTTCTGAATAAATGTGTGTCAAAAATATTAAGTTAATCAACTTTTGAATTATCATTTTATGTTTTTGAAACAAATTGACAACAGTATACGGAGACTTTTTTTACCCACTGTATGTCACGGATAAGTTTTTGTCAAATAATATCTATATGGACGCATACTAGTTGCGTCACAAAAACTTCAAATTGTGTTTTAACTGTATGTAAACTTTTTAAAAAAAATGTATTTAAAAACTCAAAATTATATAAGAAATCGAAATTTTCATCAGTCAAATTACAATAAATAATCTATATCATAAAAAACCTATTTTTTTATTCTTACTAAGTTTTGATTAATTGTAATATGTATTTAGCGCATGAATAAGCAATATTTTGTTTTGGAATAGCACTAAAAGCGCATACAGAGATCTAATGTAAATATTGTTTTGTCTTATAATTTATCTAGTGCCTCTTACACAGTTGGTATATATCATGTCTGCTTCAGTTTCACGTTATCGGTGCTTCAGTGTTATACGTGTACTACAAGAGTAAACGAAGGGGTTTAATGTTAATGTGGTCAATTTTGATAATATCATTAACTACGCCGTTCGTCCTAACGTTCTATAACCGATCCATTGGATTTGTCAAATTAAATTACTCGTGAGTTATACATTTTATTAAAAAAAAAAAGCACTCAGAAGCCAAAGAAAAATTATTTTTAATATTACCGTCGTCAATACTAAAAATTGAGCAAGTTTATAACAATGTTGTAAGTTATAACTTAACACATTTATGATTTTATTTGTAAAGGAATTTGGAAAATGTATTCAATGACTCACAAGAATTTAAAGACTTGTACAGACCATTCTATACTCGAATGACACCTTATGTTGGTGGTCTTTTGGCAGGTGTTTTGGTAGATAACCTTAAAGAACGAAAAATACAATTTTCTATGGTAAATAATACTAATAAAAACGGTATCCATAATATGTTAATTATTATTATTTAAAAACAGTCATTGACCGTGGTCCACCCTGATCCACATCGCAAAGCTCTGATTATTTGGGAGGAAGGAGAGAGTGTGAGGGAGTATTGATATTATGAAAGTCGAAAAAATGTGCGAAAACTGGTTTTACCAGATTATTGTGGATACCTAATGGTTATGACCAGTCTATGTCAGTTATGACCAATATATTTATATAAATATGTTTTTCTTTATACATTTTAGACAACGACTTATGTTGGATCTTTTATCACATTGATAGTGGTTTATTTTATTCAAGCCTATGCTGTATTTTTTTATGATAGTACGAGACCATATAACGCCATTGAACATGCACTGTACGCTACCCTTAGTCATTGCACGTTCACCATACTTTTTGGCGTTGTAACAGTTTTCCACTCCTCGTGGGGCTACGGTAAGTTGTATATTTCACAAGAGTCTTTGGAACGTGTTTCAACTTCTAATATGTAAATATTTCTCTTGAGTATCCCGGAAGCGGCTATTGATTAACGGGTGAAAACAATAAATATTTAACAAAAACTATGTCAACCTAATTCATTTTTTTGAAGTTTAAGCAAGTTTGGTAGTAAAAAATTATATTCTTATACCTAAATTTGCCAGTGTAATAATAATAGGTTTTTTCTTTAAGTTAAACCTTAAAATTGTATTAGGTAATGTTTCGATATTTTACTAGGTTATTTGGAAAATGTATTTAACAATCGGATCACAGTGTTTTTTGGGAAAATGTTGTACTCGGTGTATCTGGTTAATATAGTCGTAATCATGTCAATGGACTATAGCCGAAGATTTGCTGTTTACTTGGGAGAAGAACAATTGGTGAGAACACATATAAAACTGTAAAAAGATTACAACCCCTTTAAATTGATTAGCCAATCTAATATGTTATATCGCGGAACTATCAATTAATAGTTCATTTTTACATAAGTGTCATGTTTTCCATTATTTTATTTTAGACAAATAGAAGTTAATAAAAACAATTTTGAGGAGGTCGGGCCGATAACCGTGTGGTTTGACTCAGAATGCCCCATATAATACATTAAACAAACTGAATAATAATAATAATTATAAAAATATATAAAGCCAAATCTATAAATTTTTATAATATGCAGGTTTGATTTAATTTAATTATTTTTTTCGAGTGAAATAGGTAAGTTTTTAGTGCCTAATTTGATAAATATATTTTTTTTATTCTCGTACATCGAATTGCTAACATTTCTAATTAAATTTATTATATAATATATAATTATATATTAACTTTGATACTGAAATGTATGCAAATCGTAATACAATTTTATTTATAATAATAAACGTAGCACAATATACAAGTTAAGGTGAACAGTATTTGACAAAAATTGATGTAGTAGCCATTTTTAATATGCCGACTAATTTGAAGATGGAGAATTTTTAAGTTTTTCTAGTTATAATACTTGTATTTGAATTCCGTAGAAGTAATTTTCTGGCGTGTCTATTGGACGGATTCCAATATTTTTTTTAAGTAACGCTTACTATTTTTAACACGCTTATATTAGCTTCACTTGTATGTATGTTTGTATGTAACTATGTAACTAAAAGATGTGAGATAGGCATGGGTGTAGAGATAGGCAACCGAACGTACATGCGTGTATTCATTGTTGTTTACCTGAAGTTTTCAAGTAATAGAGACACGTATATACTATAATTAAAAAAACACGATTTTAAAGCACAACGAACTAAAAAGTGGAAAATAAAAAAAATATAGTTAAAAAAAACTAAAAAACACGCTTAAATAGTAAAATAAACTAAAAAGTAGAAAATAATTTTCAATATAGAAATCAATTAATAAAAAATAAATAGTATTATTGTGAAAAAAGCGTGGGGTGCTACATATATCAGTTCTTGAAAAGCGCCCCACACTTTTTTCACAATAATACTATTTATTTTTTATTAATTGATTTCTATATTGAAAATTATTTTCTACTTTTTAGTTTATTTTACTATTTAAGCGTGTTTTTTAGTTTTTTTAAACTATATTTTTTTTCTACGGGGGCTAAAAAGCCAACTTTTGGTTTAGCAGTTAGAAACTATAAAAAATGTTTAATATAAATGCTGGAATATTTGTTTGAAAATAAAAATAAAAATCAACTTTTTAGCTCTTATTAAAAAAAGGATATTTAAATCGGCTCGATAGAAACTTAAGAAAGTGACTTCGCGTTTCAGATATCATTTGTAAAAAAAATTTACGCTTTCCATTTAACAATAATTACCATTTTTTTTTTAGAATATGTGTACTTATCTTTACGTTTAATTTTTTTCCAGTTTAAAGAATTTACTTACAACGCCTGTGCCTGTTATTTCGTTGCTTTTGTCTTATATTTGTCTGTGGAGGCGCCCTTTGCAAATATTACAAAGAAAATATTCTATGGATAACCTTTTGCAGTTTTACAAGAACTCAGAAAAAAAATATTACAAAAAGAAAATAATAATAATAATAATTACATTTTTTTATTTAAACAATAATTGTATAGCACTATTTATTGAATAATAGTTAAAAACAAACAGCTCAAATTGCCCAAAACGAGGGAATAAAATTATGATAATATAATATTAACTGACGTTATATTTAAATTAAATAATGTAAAAACGGTTGATGTAAAAACTTAATGTTAATAAGTTTAGTACACTAAGAGGATTGAAAGCAGTCTGATTTTTTCGACGTTTAGACCAAGAATCCAACGTCATGACAACATTTTTACTACTTAGGATGGTCCAATGTCAATTTATTTCAATATATACAAGATCTATGGCTACATTATTAGATTATGTTGGAAACGGATTTTTAATTTTTTACATCTTGGATTTAACCAAAATGGCATTCATTCACAAAAAAAATTGTATAAGTTAAAAATATTACCCTGAAGATTATAACCTGATAGTTTTTTATTGACATGGTCGAAAAATATCACACGTTTTTTATTGAAAATAATACTTTCTTTCCTGTGATTATCATGGCTATTTGCGCTGCGTTGTGTTGCCTAAGTGTGTGTTTGTAAGGCGTTTTGTTATAACAGCAACAATGCCGTGATGCAGGATTATTCTTATGACACCACCGGAGCTGTTTGTCCGATTTACTTAAGAGATCTTAGAAATAGGAAGGTACTAGTAAATAATAAGTTTGAAAATTTCACCTCTTTCTCCTTAATAGTGTAAAACCCCGCAATAAAATGTAAGGTTTTACAAGTTTTGACATTGGCAGTCATTAGACACGTGTCTATCGGACATAAGCCATGAATTTTAATTTTTTCAAAGCCTTCCCCTTTCCATCAAAGGTCGGCTTTTCAATTTTTTTAGATTCAAGTACAATTTTTATTACTACAACTTACTTCCATTACTTTGATACCATTTTCAATTTTACAAACTTAACACCACATTCACTACAAATATTAAATACAATATTTTGTATAATGTTTATTTTAGACTAATTTTATTTGAATATATTTCATTTGGCTATAAACTTAGGGTTTCGATATCATCGAGCAGCCATCCATTATTTAACACAAAATAATGGGGAAAATGATTTTGAACCATATCAAATTCGCAAATTAAATATTGTTGGTGTAATTTCCAAATTACTGTGCTAAATTCCATTGTGAGGCAAATAGTAAGCCATATGCCCATGCTGGGGTATAATGTTTTATATCGTTATAAAATGCCAAAAATGTGTATTGTATAATACACTTAAGTGTGTTTAATTGATATCGTTAATAGTAGAAATAGTACGGGGGATAAATAAACCTTTGCCCAACCCCAGATAACACTGCAGTTAGATCAGCAAGAATACCAATTGTCATGATTAGACCTTAATAGAACCTAGATTTAATTACTAACAATTTTTCAAGTAGGTTGGTTTATTCACTCGTAAGAAATAAGTCGATAATATTTTTTATTATGAGCGTGTCAAAAATGCCCTGAAATTGAAGCCAAGTAAAAAATGAATTGAATAGGAATAATTTAGGCACAACGGCATGTAGCCCGGATTAAATCAGTTCGAGCAAGATGAATTGGTTCTAATAGTTCAAAAACTATATTTTGTTAAGTAGCTTTATTAAAAAAACTTGTATTTCTCGTTTAGATACCTTGGAAATGTATTTTTTTAATCTTTCCATCGAAATTAGCTCAAAACTTTTCATTTTTTTTTTTTTTGTCTAAAACTTATTTTGAACTACTGGCAGAACCCGTTTTGTAGAACTTATTTGTATCGCAAAAAATACTACCCTAGTGCCTTAATTTGTCACAATATTTAAATGTTATTTCCTTGATTCTTTGCAGTCTTTCCTGTTGGCCTGGTTTTTCCAACTACAGTAACGTTTTTTTTAATATTATTGTTAACGCAGGTAATGTTAAAGTTAATGCGCTAAAATATTATTTTTTTATTGAAATACAACTCGGTTGTAAACAAGTACAACAATTATTTCTTTAATTTATTTTGTTTTTGTATCGTACAAGATTTATAATATAGTACTAAAAGTTATACAACATTATTTCGACGCCCGGTAACAATGTTATTTAACGACATGACCGTGGCTAGGGTTTTAAACCTTGACTTTTGTGACGTCAGGTAAATACCAAAGTTTGTATACCATAACTATGTTAATAGTTTATAATGTATTATAAACATAATAAGTAAATATAATAAACATAGTAAATACGATAATATTTATGAAGTGTATCGTCGTTTAGATTTTCATCATCTTGGTCCATTATTATTTAATATTTTTATTAACACCGTCTATGCAATTATTCCTTTCTGTTGTGTTTTTCTATTGGCAGATCACGCTAAACTTTTCTCCGGCGTCTCTTCGAAGGACTATTGTGTTAAATTTCAAGCTGCTGTTAATTGTTTTGGTAGTTGGTGTAGTCTTGTGTGGTCTGCGACCAGACTGTCAACAATGGTAAGTGTAAGTGTACGATAATGTCCTTTACGGGATCTTGCATCATTTTTAAGAACGACATACCTTATCACGTGTCTATCGGGTGAAGGATTTAGGTTTGTTGTCCACTCCATCGTTGTCTTTAAAACCACATAATATTGACTTGGTTATTTATAAGGCATAAGGTGCGCTTGGCTTTATAAAGACTTACCACTTGACTCCCTGCTTGTTGGCATTATATTCTACTCTAGCTGGGTTTGTTATAGCATTATTAGTCTCAGAGATCCCAAAGTACCTACAGTAGGAATCATGAGATTTCCCATATCCCTACAGCCGGATCTAATTTTCTAGCCATCGATCCTCTTATTGACCCTATGCGGTTACTCAACAACAAAGTTGTGAATGATTCCTGTAGTGACATTACCCCCCTCCTCCCCCACTATAATGTACCTTTACGTTAAACCGTTTTGCTTAAGCAACACTGTTGTGCACCAATGCAATCATTTTTATAACTCATTTAGTTTGTGTCTCTAACTAGATTTATAATATAAAATAACAGTGCCACCGTTGAAACAATACAATTTTTCATAAAAAAAACCTGCCAGCAGTATGGGACTGAAAATTATTTTGTTCCAAAGAATATAATGTGACGTATGAGTAACTCTAACAATTTTGCGATAACAAAGATATTTTACTTGGTGTTTTTTTAAGCGACTGGAGTAGACTTTTGTCAAGTGTGCAAGATTTGTCCGAGGTAAGGGCGAGGGGGTTAGTAGATGTCCTTAGAAACATCCCAGAGGTGACAATAATAAAACATTAAACGTGCCATTTAAAAATGCATAAAAATAAAATTATGGAGCGGGTTGGATTGAACATCATCCGGGTGCGCGAAGAATTCCCTCCCAAGCCTTTATGTTCACAATTTGTGAAAGGTCTATAAACCTAACCTCCCCCCCCCCCCCATAGAAATGCACCAAGCTACTCGTATATGTTTTGTAATTATGTTACATAATAATATGACCGTGACTAGAAATTTTAAACCTTGACTTTTGTGACGTCAGGGAAACACCAACGTTTGTATATCACTACCGAAATCCAGAAATAGTTACTAACACGTGGTACTTCAACAGCTGTACAATAAGAGTTTGCAGATCCATGAACTTGTGCGGGTCATTGTACTATTGTTGCCTCCATATCATCATGCAGTTTTAATATGATATTTCATTTTATTACACAAATATACAGTGTGTATCCGGTTGATTAAATTACACAACAAAATGTTGCGTTTTTGTTTAGAAGCTTAATAAAACATTTCACTCGTTGTGTCCGCAAATTAACTCAAAATGAATAAAACAAAAAATAATCTCCCTATAACTCACAGGTCTCGATTTATTATAGGGGAAATAATTTGTATTCAATGCCGTATCGAACACAGTAATAATATTATTAAAAAAATAATCATAGGGAAATCACACGGTGTACTCGTGATAATAATTATAATAATAAATTATGTATATTTTAATTGAAATAGACGATAATTGTACAATTTGAAGAACATTTAGACTGGTCGATAACCAGTTTTGGATAGTTGTTTTTTTAAGTTATTAAAGGTTAAAAGGTAGGATGGGAGGTGGAGTGCGGTAGAATTCAACAAAATCTATGGTCTAAGTTAAATTTTATTGCGTTTAAAATGAACACGATTGATTAACGGCTAACACAGCAACAGTAACAGCTAACGATCTAATATTTAATTTAAAGGTGGACTCTATGAACACATTATGATGACCACTTCTAAGATGAGCGTAGGTAGTTATTG